GGAGAAGTGGCTGTTTGGTTATTCCTAAGAGTTTGTGTTTTATTTGAGTTGTTGGGAGCACTGTAAAAAGAGTTTTAAAATAGTGATATAAGTATGTACATATTTTCTGCGTTGATCTTTGTTTATTGCTTGGTTATCCTTAGTCTCATGCGATTTATTGTATGGGTGTATATATTTATTTATATACGTTGCTTCCGTATGTGTTTGATCTCTGATTGGGCGTTGGGTCGGCAATGCTTCCTGGGAGCGTTGCACCATAATCGACCGTCGACGGGATGTTGCGTTCCGGTAGAGTACGGGGTGTGACAATAAATCTAAAATCCGATATTATCATTGCAATAAACTTGGCCATTATGCTTCTAACTGCTGGAACAAAGAAAGTAGTGGAGCAGACGAAAAGGCGAACTTGGTGAATGATGCTGATCAAGTTCTCTTATTGGCATTCAAAGAATACGAAGAAGGTTAAAACGATATGTGGTATTTGGATACCGGCGCAAGCAATCACATGTGCGGGAGAAAGGAGATATTTGCCGAGTTATATGAGACAATTAAAGGGACTGTCTCATTTGGTGATAACTCTAAAATTCTTGTTGAAGGGAAAGGTACAATTTTGATTCGCTTAAAGAATGGTGCACATCAGTTTATTACCACTGTTTATTATGTTCCAAAAATGTCAAGCAATATCTTGAGTTTGGGACAACTTCTGGAGAAAGGTTATACTGTTCATACGAGAGATCTTAATCTTATGTTGAGAAATCGAAATAATAAACTGATTGCAAATGTGAAGATGTCGAAGAACATGATGTTTATTGTTAATATAAAGAGTGAGATGACTCGATGTCTAAAGGCATGCGTAGATGATCCTTCATGGTTGTGGCATTTGAGGTTCGGCCATCTCAATTTGGCGGACTCAATTTGCTTTCTCGCAAGAAGATGGTTTATGGCTTACCACATATTGATCATCTCGATCAATTATGTGAAGGGTGTGTTATCGGCAAGCATTCTAGAACTAGCTTTCTAAAGGAGGCGACTTATCGAGCAAATAAGCTGCTTGAGTTGATTCATTCTGATTTGTGTGGCCCGATCAATCCTCACTCATATGGTAATCATCGATATTTTGTTACTTTTATTGATGATTTTACTCGGAAAACTTGAGTGTATTTTTTGAAAGAAAAGATAGAAGTGTTTGATACTTTCAAACAATTCAAGAACCTGGCTGAAAAGGAAAGCGGCTATTTTATCAAGGCTTTGAGGACTAATTGTGGTGGAGAATTCACCTCAGCCATATTTAACAAATTCTGTGAAAATCATGGTATTCGGTGTTTCTTGACGGCCCGTATTCTCCTCAACAAAACGGTGTGGCTGAACGGAAAAATAGAACCATTCTTGATATGGTTCGAAGCATGTTGAAGAGCAAAAATTTGTCCAAGGAACTTTGGGCTGAAGCTGTTTCGTGTGCCGTCTATCTTCAAAATAGATGTCCCGCAAATGGACTTGAACACGTAACTTCACAAGAGGCATGGACCGGGAGAACACCAAGTGTTTCGTATTTGAGAATTTTCGGGAGCATTGCCTATGCTCATGTCTCGGACCAAAAAAGATCAAAACTTGAAGACAAGAGCAAAAAGCTTATCTTTATTGGGTATGACTCATCATCCAAAGCCTATTGATTATTTGACCATAACACTTTAAAAGTATATATAAGTAGAGATGTCAAGTTCGATGAAGATGGAATGTGGGAAGAAAATCTAAAAGAAGAAGCGAATGTTCGTGGTGATTCCGATCAAACGGAGTTGAAGGATCAACCTTCACCTTCTTCTCCAACATCTTCTTCAAGTTCATCAACACCATCCTCTTCAAATAGTGTTGATGGACTGCTAGTGCCAAGATCGAGAAGATTGTCTGAAATTTACGAAGCTACCGAAGAGCTTCATCTTATATGTCTTCTTGCAGATTATGAACCACTTACTTATGATGATGTGGCCAAAGAAGAAAAGTGAAAAAAAGCCATGAAAGAAGAAATTGAAGCCATCGAGAAAAATCAAACATGGGAGCTTGCTGATCTTCCGAAGGACAAGAAATCGATTGGTGTTAAATGGGTGTACAAGGCCAAGAAGAATGAGAAAGGTGAAGTGACAAGGTACAAAGCTAGATTAGTCGCGAAGGGGTACAAGCAAAAAGTTGGAATCGACTATGATGAAGTTTTTGCCCCTATCATCTGTATGGAAACGATTAGATTGATTATTTCCATTGCTGCTCAAAATAATTGGCGGATTTATCAAATGGATGTCAAATCAGCATTCTTGAATAGCATCCTTGAAGAAGAAATTTATGTCGAACAACCCAAGGGATTTGTTGTGAAAGATCATGAAGACAAAGTGCTGAGGTTGAAGAAAGCTCTATATGGGCTTAAACAAGCACCGAGAACATGGAATTCCATAATTGATGCATATTTCAAGGCGAATGAATTCTCTCAATGTCCATACGAGCATGCACTCTATTTGAAGCAAGAAAAAGGTGATATTCTGCTCGCCTGTTTATATGTTGATGATTTTGTTTTTACAGAAAATAATTCGGCGATGATTAATGCTTTTAAGGCATCGATGGTGAAAGAATTTGAGATGACCGATAATGGTCTCATGAATTATTTCCTTGGTATAGAAGTGAAGCAAAGTGCCGATGGGATTTTTATTTCCCAAAAAGGATATGCAGAAAATATCCTTGAAAAATTCAACATGAAGAACTATATGCCAGTCAACACACCAATGGAGTGCGGAACCAAGCTTTCGAAGTTTGATGATGGTGCCGATGTTGATTCGACATATTATAGAAGCTTGATTAGGAGTTTGAGATACTTGACATGTACGAGACCAGATATTATGTATAGTGTTGGAATTGTGAGTCGATACATGGAGAAGCCAAAGTCATCTCATTTTAAAGCTGCAAAGAGAATAGTTGAGTACATCGAAGGTACTATTTCTCATGGCTTACACTATTATTGCTCTGAATCTTTCAAACTTAGAGCTTATTCGAATAGTGATTATGATAGAGATATCGATGATTGAAAAAGCACCACGGGATTTGTATTTTTCTTGTGCAACACTGCTTTCATGTGATCATCAAAGAAGAAACCAAGTGTTACTCTGTCGACATGTGAAGCTGAATATGTAGCTGCATCTTCATGTGTTTGTCATGCAATATGGTTGATAAGACTACTCAAAGATATTCTTATGGAGCAGAAGAAAGCAACGGAGATTTTTGTTGATAATGTTTCTACTATTGCTTTGGCGAAAAAATCAGTTTTTCATGAACGAAATAAATATATCGATATTTGATACCACTTCATCCGAGAACAGGTTAAAGAGAATGAAGTTGAAGTATTGCATGTGAAGACCGGAGATCAAGTAGCAGATATTTTTACTAAACCTCTCAAGAACGATGCTTTTCGAAAGTTCAAGAGTCTGCTTGGAATGATCGATGGAAGAGAATTTGGTTTAAGGGAGAGTGTTAGAAATTAGATCAAATTTGTTGGTACTTGTTTCTTTTTTGAGTCTGTTTTTTTTTTTTTGGGTAAGGAATTCTTTTTTGAGTCTGTTCGTTTTTCCATATTTTGATTTTTTGTGTTTTTAGGTGAAATAATTGTTTTTTCAGATATATGGTAAGATATTAAGAGATATGGTTAGATATTAAGAGATAAGATAAAATATTCTTTCTAGTTATATTTTAGGAAAGATAAGAGTCACGTAACTTTTCTTTAAATAGGGGAGTCTTGTAATTTTTTTTATAAGAGTGAAATCTGAGTGAAATATATTGAGTCAGAAAATTCTATCTATCCTCTTCTTTTCTTCGCGCGAGTTGCGATTGTTTCACTTTCAAAAATTTCTTCCATCAAATCAAGTTGTTGCCATGTCTTTGACGCTCAACAACTATCAGATTAGAAGCAAGACGAGGACTAATAGCATTAGTCTTAATCACATGAAAAATAACACGCTGCGTAATTCATCGATAAAAAAAATTTAGCTTCGACTTTGGAGAAGAATGCCTCCAAACGAAAACTCATTTCTTCGGTTTACATGTCACGCTTATATAAAGAATGTCGGAACCTAAAATCTGTCGTTGACCATTAAGAAAGGCTTGCTTGCTCCCATCCCTCAAGCGCCATAATATCCATTGCGGAAGGCGAGAGATGTCGTTTCCAATCAGCTTGATCATGGGAAATAACTTCGTAGAGAGATTTTTCGGAATGGGCTCATTGCCCGCAAATCTCAAAATAAGGCAAATCGCCGCCATGGTCGGCACCGGCAGATCGCCATTGTCGCCGTTTTTACGATTCGACTGGCAATATCTAGAAAGAAGATTAGAGACCAGACATTCGAAGCCGCCGATATTAATGTGTGCGGGACTCGGCATCATGAATGTAACGCAAGTAAAAGCAGAAAAGTCTCGCGCAATAATCCCAGATTTCCAGCACACGGACAAAAGGTCAGTGCACCAAATCAGACCCCCTTATTGAATCAGGCCTCAAAAGGATGCAATACAAGAGAGATCCATTTAACTGTAAATTTTCTCTCTTTGCTACTGCATTTAATAGAAAGGGACCATTAACACTCGCCATTGCTCGAGTCTCTTTCTACTCGCACATCCTCCCAACCTTTCAGATCTAAGCATGGCACACGGGAGACTATACAGCCAACTTTTTAAAACTTTTCGCCTTTCCAACGGTATCCTAATGTAAAATGAGATACTCACTCTAGAAGAAGGTCCATAGTATAGCTAGACTCAATCCAGCTCTGTACATCCTCAGTCTCTATACCGAGTTTCGCAAGTGGAAGTAGCTGCGTCATTGCTCCGTCTGGCCATTATTGACCTCACAACGGTTCATATTTATACCTTCTACGACCATTAAAGGCAATTGCAGATGAATGAACAGCCTACTAACTCCAGTCGAGCACGGTTCAATATCGCAAATACATCATGTTAATGAAAAATGAAAAGTGCCCTGGAAAATAGCCGATTAAAAAGGGTTGATATATCGCTTCAGAAGCTATGGCTGCAACCTGTACAAAGATGTTGGCTCAGCACCCATTATATATACCGGTCGAATTTGACATATAGTTCATCCTGAGCTATGGACAATTTAACCAAAGGCTATCACGAACTTCGTGTGCATTTACATTGATGGTGGGCACTAGGACTAGCACTATTAAAAGCCTTCTCCAACATCTCAAATGCAACATCATTCAAAAAAGAGATCGGGGTATGCTCTTATTATAGTAACTTCATTAGTTATATGCTCGTTTTCAGGGTTACCGAGCCACAGAAGCATTCTTGGTCAAAGATGACCCTACTCGAAGCATAAGGGGATACACAGGACTGAACTCCTTGTCCCCCCCTCTTACCCTTACTTTCGCAGCATAATCATCCAAAGTTGCTTTCACGCCTTTCCAGATCTGATCCTCTCCTTGTGAATCCATCCACAAAGAGTACTGCAACGGCGTGAGCTTGTTTCTTTGCATTGGAGACTGCAGGTCATCCGGACCACGGGTGTAGAGATGGTGAAGTATAATACTGACCGGCAGATGCTGAAGAAGAGGAGATGCTCCCAGCTGAGATGTTTCCAACAATATGAGAGGCCTAAATGCTCGAAGGGCTCGGTACGGTGCACCTAGTTGTTCCACCTTGAACAAGTTCTGGCTTACCGACAGCTCCAGCTCGGCCATGTCTCTAGTCAATCTCAGCCTCCCTGATTCTGAAAAAGGCCTCACAAGAGCAGCATGCCTGATGAAGAAAATCAAAACTCGTGAAGCCATGTTTCTAACGAGCCGAGTGCATATCGTTTCTGTCTTTCCACTTGTTGTCTTAGCTGGAGTCAACATCCTGACTAGAAACTCAGTACGGAAGTGAAGAATGCACTTCTGCAACTCCTCCATGTAGGGTGATACACTATTGTCCATAGCAACACCCATCCCAAGCACACCAAAGTTCTGGTCATGAATTTGCATTATGCAAGACTCCAGTCGATCCAGCATCGATTGAAATAAGGATGTCATTGGATTACATGCGACCTCATATATTGCACCCAGTGCAGGGGAAAGCTCATCGGCAGCAACAGGCCGGAATTCCCGGATCAGAGATGATATGCGGGTGTGAAATTCTTGCAAATGCTGACATATGGTGAAGTTCTTCAACTGGGCTGCTGTAACAGGACCCATCACTTGACGTGCTTCAGGACCAGTAGACATCTGCATTACAAAAATTGCCCTCCACCATTCAGAATTATGTTATGCAAGAATCATAAGATGACTTCATTCTAATCCAGATGTGACAAATTCAAATCATGGAAACTGTCACTACATTATATGGGTAAGGCTATGTGAATTCGATTGTCTCCCCTGTATTTACCAGAATATGGTTTTCTATTCTCTAACCATCAAAATTAGGATCATGTGTTCTCCCTTCATCCTAAAAAACGAATCAAGGATGAAACTTACTGCTAGAATCACACAAACACAGATGTCCCAATGATAAATATTCACCTACCATCTTAAAAGAACACCTCAACTGACCTATGTAATTCATTATAAAAAATAGATCTTTATCTACGCATCTAGCATATAGATAAAGATCCTAAACATTTCAAGTGATTGACTCTTGTTTCAAGTATGAGATTGAGACGGCTACCCCGTTGGATCATTTGATCATACAAGGTATGTTTAATAGTGGAATAAGCAGGCCCATTTAGGGTGCCAAACTGTCATTCTTAAGTCCATATTGTCAACTGGAATTCGATCTATAAACCACTGGGAAGAATCTTGGAGCAAGCATTGTCATACAGATGGCTTCTGGAACTTTTACTAACTATGAAGCATGCAGTATCTGGTTGGATACATGTAGTGGAGTTCATAATCCAAGGCAAATATCGTTTAAGATTAGCAACAGGTAGTGTGCTCTTCAAACTCACTAGACTTCACACGAGAATGGCCAACATGTGAAATTCCGGACTTTGTCATGGAGATAAACCACTTTGCATAAAGCAATATTTTGCTCTAGCAAATTGTAAGAACACTTCTTCAAAGAAGTACCCTTACAAATCACAAAAGAACCTATATCCCATTTCCAACACGATTAATCAATCAATGATGGTCAAAAGACTTGATCATTTACAGAAACTTAAATTGAAGCATGGTTTCGATAGACAAACCATTCAGCTTCAATTCTATATAAGCCTGTAAGGCATTCTCCATATTATGAAAGTTCTACAATTCACCTCTTTCCATGCTATTACTAACCACATCATCCAAAAGGGATAACAGAACTATTTTTTTTTCTTGTCTGTACAAAAATTAACAACATCTCTGAATGCATGCATCTATTTAGAAATTGATTTGCCGAGAAACCAGGTAACAAGATCACAGCAATAGCCAAAACCTCCCTCCAAGCAAAATGCTTCTCCTAGGGTTGACTAGCTTCGATAAAGAGGAGAAAAGGAAATTAAGTTGGCACTTCCTACATGCTGAAGGCTATCGTTTATGAAGCTGCTGAGCCTCAAATTCCCCTCTAGCAAGCTCCTTTTCCGGCACAACCCCGCTGCCCCCCCTCCCCCCCTCAAAAAAAAAAAAAAGAAAACTAAAGAGAAGAAAACCAATGCCACCTGAAAGAGAAAAATAAAATTGCTGGTCCACAATCAACTAAACATTTATTCTCCTGCCGTAAGGGCAAGCTAAGGTCCCTATATATGCTCTAGGGACATTTCATCCTAACAAATGGACTGAACAAATAAAATCTGGAGAATCATGCAAAAGAACAGAGAAATCTACCTTAGTGCAACGTATAATGTCCAGTAAATTACCTGGTTCTCAGCTTGTGGTGCCAGCTGGCGCAACGCCATACCAATTTCATGCAAGACAAGCAGAGTTAAACGCCGGTCCAACTGGACAGCTTTTTCAATCTCTTCCTGTATGTATGATACGATTCTTAAGAAAAATAATTTGGAGGGACCACTTCCCTGAGCGGACTCATCGATTACATATTTGACGAGAAATATAAGACGTTTGGAGCATTGACACAAGTATCGAGTCTCGAATATATCTATTGCTGAAACCATTTGATGTTTTACTTCAGGAGTGATAGCTGGCAATACTCCCTCAACATCGGTGTCGCGTGAAATCCATTCTAGAAGATTCTCAATTGTGGAAAGCATCTTTGGGTATTCCGCTGTAAAAATAGAATTAACAGAAATTGATCCAGCAAAAGCAGATTGCATTTGGCTTGCAAAGGCCTGAACAAGTGCCTCCCAGACACGGTCTGATAACATTGCATCACCGTCCTAAGCAAATAAAATAACTTTAGCAAGGCATACAGTCCAAGTAAGAAAAAAAAAGAGGGAATCACATATTATCGGAAAGTCAATACATGCTTTTCTCGATTTTTGCTTTGGAAGTAATATTTGGAGAACCAAATTGTTCAAATAAAATTGGATAATTCTGGCGTAGCAAGAGGAGAATCAAAATGGCATTGTGTTCAAAGGGATGAGAACTGAAGAGACTAAGAGACAGAGGTAGCATATTTCCTCAGGTCTTAAGAAATTAAGCTAAGCAGGCAGCCAAATAGATCATTTCCTTAAGCAAACTAAGACAACTGACATTATGGGCCAGAACAAGAACGTAAGCCATGCAAAAAAATCATTTTATAACTTGTTCGACACGGACGAATCACCACGCCAAATCTCCCCACTAATTTAAAAGTATGGGTCTTCAAAGTCTCATAACACAACAGAGAAACACCAAGGAGCATCCAAATGCAAACTACTACATTGATCAAGAGCCACGAAATCCTAACACACGCTAACCTGAACGACGTCGTCAAGCAGCGATACGTGCGTGACCGGATCCCTCGTCTGCGACAACACCCGCTGCAAGTGCCAAACCGCAACCACGACCAAGTGCAGTCGCTCCACACACTCCTCGATCCTCTTCCAAAGCGCATTGCGCGGATTCCATCCCCCTCCAGTCGTTGACATAGCCTTCGTATCCAATGCGGCATTAATGCTCTTCACTCCCATTCCCTCATACTTATTCACCAACCGCGCCACAGTGGCCTTCAACTCGCCTAGATCGTAAAGCACCTGTAGTCCAGCACCAACCTCCCCCTGGTTCAGCCCTTGCATGCCTCTCTCCAACACCTCCATGGCCTCGCTCCTGATCGCACCGCGGATCCACTTCGACTCTTCCCCCTCGACCGCATCGATGCTGGGCGGACCGTGCTCGGGATCTCTGGACAAGCGGAGGAGCAGGCTGGTGTGTCGCAAGACATCGGTGGATCGGTGGAGGTTGGAGAGCAGGAGCGTCTTGGAGTTGATGGGGGAGGGAGGTTCGGGGAGATCGGATCGGACACGGCGGAGGGAGGAGACGGAGGAGCGCTGCCCCATGGCGGAGGTGAGAGGCGACCGAGATAGAGAGATTTAGGTAAGGAATTAGGAAAGGAATTAGGGTTTTGTGAAATCATATATATAGATATCCCAATCAAGGAAACCTCCATTATCCCCCGAATCTTTCTCATATCTAATCAAAATCCTGATAAGATCGTGACAACCTACTGATAGCAAATTCTTTTATATTTTTCAATGAATCGAATGCGGGCGAGGGATCTTCCTAGAATTGTTCAAGCTGGTTGTCACTTCATACCCTGCTTTGTATTTAATCCTCAAGAAGGTTGGTCTTCTCACATGCCAGATTGTTTTCCAAACTGAAAAGTTGTAGGGTCGTTGTGTTGCTGATTCGTTTATTTCAGAAAGGGAGCGAGTACTTGAATGGAGTTATGCAGGCGTAATCCTCTTATCTAGTTTACTATGCTAGCCATTTATCTACCCGTTCTTGGTTTTTTTTCTTTCTTTCTTATAATCAATTAAAATATCTTCTTTCCAATCTGAAATAATACGGGTTTAAATTTTGCGTCTCACTACTCATGCAGGTTCTAGGAGTTCACTTTTTGCTGCGACAGATTCTGAGGTTCCAGAACACTGCGAGTTACTGAAAGCGGATGAGTGGCCTGTTTGTGCATTCATCTCTCAAGATTGCCGTCCAACAAACCCTTCTGAAGAAGCACACAATGTCGAAACCTCTTACCGGGTATGGGAAAAGACATTAGAGATGATAGGCCTTCCGTCAGATTCTGTGGAGAGACTTATAGAAGGGGAAGAGATTACATGCCGATACGGTGGTCATTAAGGTGTTTATCCTCTCTTTTTACATGGAAGTGCTGGTCGACGCAAAAGCCTCTGCACAGAATGCTCGTGAATGGCATCTTCAAATGTTTTCTGATAGTATTTCATTACACTGATTCTCATTCATGAAAGAAGGAAAAGGCCGATTAGAGAACTCCGGCCAAAATTCTGTGGGACAGTAAATGTTAGGATAAACTCCTCTTTCACACTTTGTGAGATAGTTTAACATTAGCGAGCCTTATCCTCGGAAATGCATGTGCTTGTTATAGGCTGTGAAGCCACTGCTAGTTTGTCTGCCACCGAGTTTCCCACTGTACATTGTTTTGTCGAAAATTGATAAAAGCATCGGGCAATTCTAGCATGCCTTTTGGCCATTTAACTGGATCTATCAAGGGTTGAACATGCTAGCAGTAGCTTGTTTTCACTTGGATCACTGGAAAAAGTTTACTGATATATCGTGTAAAATGTCATTGACATTTATTGTAAACGTGTTATTGATCACGATGTGTAAGTCACTAATCCCATAAAAGTTGTTACTTTGATGGAAGCGGGATTGATTTGATTTGTGAGACGTCATTTGCTCGCGAAATTAACATGGAAATCGGTTGTTGGAGGCTTGGAGCAGATACTTCTCGGTGGAAAGGTACCTTTTTATTAGAGCACAACCGCGGTAGACAATCGCCGTTGCTAGGCATGGCCACGGTTCGGAACCGGCGGGTTCCGGTTCGTGGCTGTCACGCCCCAAACCTCAACAGGCTCGCGACATCCCTTCAACGGTCGTATTGAACGCGACGTCCCAGGGCGCGTCGCCGACCCAAACAAACTACGCAAACGGAAGCGAAATAAAACAATCCAGACAACTAACATGATGACAAAAGGATAGCACGAAACAATAATTGCATAACATCATAAAACAGTCACTATTACAAAACGATAACCCAGGCTACCAATTTCAAACCACAATTTTCAAAAGGGGGCGGTGGTTGACAAGCTTATCTCCTTTACGAAAAGGTACTCAAAAGACAGGGTAATTTGATCTATCCTTCAATCCCTGTGGTACTCTGGCGGCATCTCCGAATCGATCACGGTCGCGGATCTGAAAGTGGTTATATAATAACCGTGAGAACGAGTCTCAATAAGCAACACCCTAAACCCCACCTAGGCCAATGCGTACCCAGACAAGTCTCAACATGCAATCTAACCGATAACATATATATAATTCACATCAACGGACTTACCTCGCTATCCAATCATATGCCCCCACTGCATATTAGTCAAATCATGATAATGAAATAATATTTCGATAATATAATACAATCATTCGAGCGCCATCCACACTCGCACCCAACCAATCTAACCAAACATCCACATGTACCATCAATCAATCCAATCAAATATCCACACGTACCATTAATCAATCCAATCAAATATCCACACGTACTTTAAGCCAATCCAACCAATCACATTTCGCACACGTGCCCAACCAACCATCTCACGACCCGCGCCACTGCGCCTCAGGTCCATTCTCACAGCCCGTGCCAATGCACCTCAAGCTCAGCCCTCCGATCAATTCGGGCTCTGTCCCTCACTGGACATCTCGCACTTTCTCACGACCCGCGTAAACACGCCTCAGGTCTGACTTTCCTTTGACGGACCACCGTCAACACGTCTCAAGTCCGTTCTCACAAGCACACTAGCCACACAATTCAATCAATTCCAATGGCCGCCGTCAACACGTCCCAGGCCAAACTTTCCTTTGACGGACCACCGTCAACACGTCTCAAGTCCGTTCTCACAAGCACACAAGCCACACAATTCAATCAATTCCAATGGCCACCGTCAACACGTCCCAAGCCAAACTTTCCTTTCACGAACCACCGTCAACACGTCTCAAGTCCATTCTCATAAGCACACAAGCCACACAATTCAATCAATTCCAATGGCCGCCGTCAACACGTCCCAAGCCAAACTTTCCTTTCACGGACCACCGTCAACACGTCTCAAGTCCGTTCTCACAAGCACACAAGCCACACAATTCAATCAATTCCAATGGCCGCCGTCAACACGTCCCAAGCCAAACTTTCCTTTCACGGACCACCGTCAACACGTCTCAAGTCCGTTCTCACAAGCACACAAGCCACACAATTCAATCAATTCCAATGGCCGCCGTCAACACGTCCCAAGCCAAACTTTCCTTTCACGGACCACCGTCAACACGTCTCAAGTCCGTTCTCACAAGCACACAAGCCACACAATTCAATCAATTCCAATGGCCGCCGTCAACACGTCCCAAGCCAAACTTTCCTTTCACGGACCACCGTCAACACGTCTCAAGTCCGTTCTCACAAGCACACAAGCCACACAATTCAATCAATTCCAATGGCCGCCGTCAACACGTCCCAAGCCAAACTTTCCTTTCACGGACCACCGTCAACATGTCTCAAGTCCGTTCTCACAAGCACACAAGCCACACAATTCAATCAATTCCAATGGCCGCCGTCAACACGTCCCAAGCCAAACTTTCCTTTTACGGACCACCGTCAACACGTCTCAAGTCCGTTCTCACAAGCACACAAGCCACACAATTCAATCAATTCCAATGGCTGCCGTCAACACGTCCCAAGCCAAACTTTCCTTTCACGGACCACCGTCAACACGTCTCAAGTCCGTTCTCACACGTCATACTAATCAAATTCCAATCACGAGTTCACCAAACAAGCCCACCCATCCAACATTCAAACATCAAATTCATCCACAAATGCCACGATAACACCGAATAAATCTCGAGAGAGAGAAAAACCGAGAATATACAAAATAGGGTCCAAACTGGGCAGTTGTGCAGTGACAGAAAACCATTTGAAATAAATAGTAAATAAACTCCAAAAATTCTGAAATTTGGATATGTTGCATAAAACATCTTGATAAACATTTTCCGTGAAGAACTCGAAACCCAGTTCCAACTGTAAACACCTCTTTTTGACACTCAAATCCGGACAGAATCCGGTTCGCTCGGACAGCCCCTCAGACCATCAAAATACAACTCATTCAGTACCCAAATCATTTTGGAAAGCTCTGAAATTTTTATATGTCATAGACACAAGTGTTTTTAACAATTTTTGTGAAGGAATCTTGTTGAAATAAGGTCTAGAAAATTTTATAAAAAATTCGGAAAGACAAGAAGGTCGGGTGAACAGTAACTCCGGTAGCCCTGAGATGGTCCGAAAGCCGACCTCCGAATGACCACAAACAACTTCCAAAAATTCTGAATTTAAAGTATGTTATACCTCAAGATGTTGGGAACAAATTCCATGAAGAACACTTCCTCAGATTCGGCCCACAATGATCACCAAAAAAATAACAAAGCACAGAGGTATAGTAACAACCAGAAATCCAAGAATCATTAAACTTGCACCATTAAGCAAATCAAGCTTATACAACCACTAAACCAACTATCCATAGCCCCTAACCCATCCCTAGACATGCCATTAGTAACCCACTAGCCTAACCAAGGATTAGGAAGTCTACCAAGGGTTTAAGCAAGAAAACCGGTGAACAGGCAAACTGAGCTCCGGTGGTGAACAGGGCTGAACGGGAATCTCCGACGACTTTCCGGCGACCAGGCTGGGATGGTTGGAACGAACACAAGATGGTGGTGGTCGGGGTACCAGGAGTGAGGCCTAAAGAGAGAGAAAGAGGGGAAAATGGGTGTTTTCAAGCTGGTTTCTGGGATAGTTCAGGCTTTTGTGAACAGTGCGCACTCCGGCAGCCGGACGGGTGGCTGACCGACGATTCAGGCGGCGAGTCCGGTGGCGTCTGAACCGGAGAAGCAAGGCGGAGGTGATGGTGCTTGGAGATTCGGCCGATTCCAAGGAGGGAGAGAGAGAGAGCTCCGGGAATAAGAAGAGAGAGAGAGAGAGAGCAAGTCAACCCACTCAAGTGCAATCCGAGGGTCCAAAATTGATCTTGGTGAGCAAGCCAAGATCTAAGGGCCACGAAAATTCCTAGTTTTCAATTAAAGAAAAAGATTAGAAGACACTAATTCAAATAAACACTGAGGGAGGTATACTGGTCTAGGTCCGCACCCGGTCCAAATTTCACTTTTCACATATCCCGGGCAATCTTGAGGTTGGCCACAATAATATCGACACCGTCCAATTAAATTCGTCCAGAAACTCCGAGAAATTCGACACCAAAGTTTGGGCTCTAAATAACGGCCAAATTCGATCGAGTACGATTCTAGCGAAATCTCAATTTTAAAAACAATAACTGAGAGTAATCAGTTCCCGGGCGAGATTTTACTATAAGCACACTGACGAATTACACGTTTTATAAATCCCAAAAATGGGCCGAAATTCGGAATGTCACAGTGGCCATGTGTGAACCGGAACCAGCCAGTTCCGGTTCGTAATTTAAAAATTTTAAAAATAAATTATGAAATAAAAAAATAATGAATTATAAAAATATGAAATAATGAATTATTCAATATAAATTATAATCAAAATGAAAATTGTAGGGGTGATCGATTCTTGGTTTCGACCGGGAACCGAACCGGTAAGACCGATCCTTTAATTTTAGAGCTAGGAACCGGACCGGCAAATCATAGAACCGGGAATCGGACCATTGGTCCGGTCCGGTTCTAGGCGGTCCAATGGACCCCTTTGCTTTTAACTAGCAAAGGATCGTAGCCACAAAAGGCATACAACTTCACATGCTCATGGCTTGACTTGGGTTTTATAAACAACCCCTTTGATGGTCTCTTCATTCCCATTCGATGTGGGACTCTTGGCATTTGCACGAAGACAAGCCAAGAGTCTCACATTGAAAGTGTTCAAGGCAAGCCGAGAGTCCCACATCGAATGGGAACGAAAAGGCATTAGAATCATTGTGTATAAAACCCAAGCCAAGCCTTATAATTAGAGTTCAATACACCCAAGCCAAGCATTGTAATTGGAGATCAATGCACTTACAATGCATGGTAATTAGAGTTCAAATTGTTTTATAAAAAAAAATTAAATAATGAATATTTTTTTTAAAAATTTCATTATTATTTTTTTTAAAAAAATAATTTGGAACCGGAACCGGAACTGAGCTCGGGTTTGACCGGGCCGGTTCCGGACCGAAACCGGCCCGTGGCCATGACTAGCCGTCGCCTTGGGCCCTCCTCTACTGCATGTAGCTAGGTTCGAGTACCAAGAGTAATGACAGTTTTTCATGGATGAATTGGACAGTGTACCGTAGTTATCATGCGCTGATATAGCACGCCGTTGTTCCTTGGGTCACAATGCTAATTAATTATTACTCTTTGCTTTGGCAAGAGATGACTTCTGGCAATTCATTAAGTAAAGGAATAACGCTTTTGCGCATGCCCGGTTGCTTTGGTCAAATCTAAGGCAGGTTGCGACTCGAC